ATAAGAAATATGTGCAAAGATAAACAGTTCGTCTATTTTTCTATTTGTCAATTTATGCCAGCATTATTATTATTATTATTATTATTATTATTATTATTATTATTATCATCTTCACAGGAGAGAAATGTGTGTATCATCATTCGTCGACGTCCGCTTCTCGCAATCACATATCCGGCGAAATTTATTTGCGGTCTCCGGGAGAAATGCTATTACGGCGTCATCGACGTGCTCCCTCGCGCGTTTCCCAGGTCGGAAAACAAGATGCACGTGCTCTTCCCGCCTCCGATGTACGCGTGGTGTTGACGTCGGTCGCGCTCGTAGCGTTCCAGATTTTACGAAGAACATTAAAGCCCACGGCGCACAGCTTTGTTTTGCAAAACATCGTACTCGCAAAACATTCATTGGCCGGCTATTGGTCCAGTTCACTCGCTTTCTTCCTCTAACAACACGCTATTCTTCTCGGCATCCTGTGCCGGGAGACCTGCACTAGGACGCAGTAACGCGAAGCCGCGTAGAAACTATTCTCGGGCAACCGTTTTCCGAAGGAGGAAGTCTCTTTCTTAATGGATCGGTTATTTCAGTAACGTCTCTATGTTAAAGCGCTAAATAGAAAATAGATTAATGAAATATTAAATAAATGATAGAATCTCATTGGGAGGGAGTTAAGAGTGTTTAGAACATAAAGTTTTGAGCACGTTATTAAATAAAACTAAAATATTATGCTATTATAAATTATAATTCTGACAATTTTTATAATGTCGAAAGTGGAGTTTAACATTTTTTATAGTCTTCAGATAAATGGTATTTGTAAATTAAGATCTTTAGTTCAATGAAATAGTTTGGTGAAAACTAAATAAAACATAAATTTCAAAATAGTTTGATAAAAAAGCTCTCGCTTTCTCTTTCTCGAGCAAAGCGAATCCCTGAAAAAGAAATATATTTTTCGATGATAAATAATTAAGATTTATTTTCATCATCTCTTATATAGCTGTCATTACACTTTTTTACACGTGGATTCTCGCCGAACCATTATACGCAGCTGCCACAAGGTGCTCATACACTATTTCGTTGTGTAATAACTCGAACGAGACGTTTAATAGAAGCCAATTTTAATGATTTATACATGAGACTAATTAATTCGCAGTATGAGTTTCTTAAAGTTAATTAGTACGTCTATGCTAATCGTATATTTACATCGTAATCGTCGCGAAAACAATTTCAGATCTAATCTGTATAGTTCACATGAAACGTACATATTCGTACGATTAAACATATATAACTCTATTTATTAAATTCTATTTATATATATATATATATATATATATATATATATATATATATATAATAATAATATAATATATATATATATATATATATATAATTATATCTAAAATAAATCTAAAAATACCTTCTAACTTATATGTATGCAAATGTGTATTTATTATTATAGTATATTTTTGTTTTATTTTTATGCATTTAGTTTTTTATTTAATAGAGTATATATCAAGTCGAAAATAACTTCTTATTTTATTTGCATCTTTAGAATGCTGAGTTATACATAACTAACATAATATCGTAATAGCAGATTTTTATATGCTAAACTTTATTTGGGCGGGTTCCAAATTTGAATATTATTATTCATTTAACGGTGTGTAAACTGACGCTCAGAAGTCAGAGTGTAATACGATTATCAGGCCTATACTGAAACAATGATAAAGGTGATTCGTGCGGATTATGCACGCGAGACGTTTCTAATTCGTTTCTTTATAGCTCACTTATTCGTACTTATCAGCTCACACACGAGCGGAATGTATGATTAAAGCTAGTAGTTATAGTTATAGCTTATAGTTTAACGAGCGTATTCTAATTTTTCGCGAGATTAACGGTGTCGCGGAGTAGAGATTCTTGGATTCATAGCGGACCGCACAAATCAAGTCATCCACAAATCACAATGCTGTTTCGCGGTACGAAACAAATGCGGCACGCTTCGCGAAAGGGAGACACAAAAGGAAGATGGAAAAAAACGTAATTCTACAAAACGCTGGAGTCACGTCGCGATACGGCATCGCCAGTTGATTTAATGTAACATTACGCGTGACGTTAATAGCGCCGTGCGAATTCGGTAATAAACGCATTGCGGTACGAATGGGAACAAGTTATTGCTCGATGTCACATGTGGATTATAACAAACAAATTTATAGTTTTTGCTCTACATCTCAAATATTGTTGCCTTTGAACTTTCGAAGCTAAATGAACGATGCAAATAAAACAGACGCCTCTTTAAATGAATGTCATACGTATCGTATTTCCAATTGTTGGATGTAATTAATTATATTTCAGAATTTTATGGGTTATAATACATTGCATAATTATATCTATCTTGATATTCATGGTTTATATTTCATACCGAGATTTTATGATGACACCTTTAATAACTTCTATGGAATCAGATAGTTACGGTACAGCCGAGTTAGACTTTCCAGGTATGAAGCTATTTTTTAGAACTAAAAATGAAAGCAATTGTAATAATAACAGAAATATCCAAAATTATATTTATATATTTAAATAAAAAAAACTTGATATTAAATTAAAATTTGATTAGATAGAAAATACAAAGAAACATGATAAACAAATTAATTAAATATATTGAGAACATTGAATAAATTAGAAATTAAAAATAAAAATATGTAAAAGTTTTTATCTTTTTTTTTACATTTCTAACATTAATTGTAACTCTTTTTTAAAATAGAAAATTTATTTTCTTTTCTTGCTTTCATAGATGTGCATGCTATAGTACATTATAAGTACATTATAAAATATGAAATGAAAATTTAAAATACGTCATTAATATTTGTAGATGACAAAATGTGAATATAAAAAGTTTTTCTATTTAAATGGCATTCCCTTTTTTTTCAATTTTTCTTTTATTTTATCGCATTAATCGATACATCGATGATGCTTTGATAATTTTCAGGAATCGCCATCTGCCCCGTTAATAGAATAAGTCGGCAAGCCGTGACGGAATTTGCGACCGACATGTGAGTGAATTTGTATATTAAATAAATGCAAACTGCATTCACGTATATTAAACAAATGCATTCGCACGTGCACGAACGATGGCGAGGTGCTGATGCAAACGCAGATCCATTCTAGCATATTAGATGGATGTGGACGAGATTTCGCCGATCAAATTGCACCAATCGCATGATCGATCGGGATCATTCGAAGTTCAGTTTTGCTGGCTGTTTAACGCATATTATTCCACAAATGTTCTCAATGCGTATTAAAATAATCATTGCAGTTGTCAGCATAAATCACAAATATCTATCTGGCAATATCGCAATCGCTAGTTCAATCGCACGATTGATCTTTAGATTATATTAATAATAAAGCGATAATGCAAATATTTGAGAATAAATTTTGTTAATATTATATTGTCATTAACTCATCTAATTTTCAATCTTTTTAAAAAAATTATAATTAAAAGATGCTTCCAGAAACTTCGTGATTTTTTAAATCAATTAATCATTAATTAATGATGAATGCTGATTGTATTATTCAAATAGATATGTTATTCAAAAGATGGAGATTTAAATATTACAATAATTGCAAATATTTAAAACGAATAGAGATTACAAATGTGACAAATAATACGTATCTATAATCGATAGGAACAAACTCGTGATTAAGGATGAGTTTACTAAACATTTGGTAATCTCATTGATTATTTTGACCGAGATAGAATTAACTCGCCACAACTGACGAGATACATACTCAAAGCTTAATCGATCAACGCTTGGTTTCTATGCCGGTTTTTGCGACGTTCCGAGTCAACTGGTACACCGATTATCATTAATTTGGTATCGCGTATTTTGCGAACGCAACAAGAATGATTCGATGTGTTGCATATTGATGGAGAACGTAGAATTGGTGGTTACGGCTCATTTAATAGGGTGTTAATATTCTAAAATCCAGCCGTTTCACGCGATGCTATCTCTAACCATTTGCAAACTTTTGGCTCCGCTAATGGAAGAGATGTTTCCGGAATTGTTGATTCGGAACAGGAAACCTTCGAAGTTTCATAAGTAACTTCAACGCAAAAGTTTCCATCCCAAGTTTGTGCATTGATTAATGCCACGTTGATTTTTATTCAATTTATTCTAATCTTGTAAAATGTTGTAAATCAATAAATAAATATAAATTTTAATTTTTCTATCATCCCTTTTAATAATAATTTTTTATAGCAAATTAGTAGTGTTTTTGATAATTGTTTGCACTAAATATTTTCATGTTAATTGGTATCTTTGATTATTCAAAAGATATATAAATCTACTACGATATTCGTGCGCTATAATGTTACTTATTAAAAGATTATTGTAAGATTATTTATTATTGATAAAATGCAATTGTAAAGTTGTGCAATGTACTGAAGTAATTTAAATTATGCACATATTTAACACATATATGCATGATTCACAAATTATCACGTATCAAGATATATTATATAATAATTTTATTAAAAATTTTTCTTAAAACTAGTTTTAATAAAAACATCACGGATCGGTCACTTAAAGAAATTCTCGATTTGCTCTCGAAATTGGGTGACCTCTACATCGCTAATTTTGACAGAGATTCAAGTAATGACATGGAACTAGACCAACTTTTAATGAAATATTACAAAGAGTCTTACAATATAATTGAAATAATGAAAAATGTACGTATATAATACTCAATCAATAATATTTTAAATATAACACTAGAATTTTATTTACAGAAACACTTTTATTAGATTTTTCTTTAAATTTTGAAATAATTGGAAACTGTAAACAATTTAAACTTAAAAAAAATTAGATAAAGATTGATAATCATGCACGGATCTCAGTGCAAAATATAAATTAGAAAACTTTATTTTAAATACATAAGATTTGACGTTTTGGCTCAATTTTCAAGCATCAGAAAGTTAACAAATATCTGAAAATAATCTTACGCTTTCCATATAACG